GATTTATGATGTTTAGGTTTTAGATTCTCATTTCCTTTCCTTAGTTAGCTACTCTTAATGCTAGATCTTTGCACATCACTTTGATCTAACATTTCTCCACCCAAAAGGTGTTTGATGAAATGCTTGGAAAAGCTAAGCTAAGGGTTTATGCTTTTTTCATCATGAGAGTGATAGTTTAATGCATAAATGACATATTAGAATGGTTTCTTATTCCTCACTGATTCATATTTCACAAATGGGAATTTGGTTTGAAAATGGATTACTGTAGAGATTAATACCTTCATGAGAGGATTAGTCTAGATTAGAGTTCTAAGTTAATTGGTTTTGATAGACAAGACTTTTTGGGTCTTACGGATATCAATCCTCTTGTCAAAGTAGCACAAAAGAGGTTGTCAATCCAAGAATGTGGTGATAGACACTAAGCTATGTGATCAGTTTCTCAATTCAAGTAAACAGATGAGGTTTTGATTGACTAATGACAACTAAGAACTTAAAACAAGATTAATAACTAAGCAAATGATCAAACAAGAACTAAGCAAATGACAAGTGATGTGACTATGAGATGATGGAAGCATGAGATTCTAGACATGATAGTTGGCTAGGGTGCTTTGGTGCTAAACTAGAAATGCTAATGACAATGATGAGACATGATTCAAATGATTAAGAACTCTAATCAAGATTAATCCTCTCATGAAGGTATTAACCTCAACACTAATCCATTTTTAAACCAAATTATCATTTGTAAAATATGAATCAGTGAGCATTAATAAACAGTTCTAAGAGATCATTCAAGCAAATAACAATACATCATCATGCAGCAAATGCTTAAACCTCTAATACAGCTTTTTCAGGAATTTCATCAAACACTTTTGGTGCATGAAATTCCCAGATTCTAGATCACAAGTGATGTGCAAGGATCTAGCCAAGAGAACAGCTGTTTAGAGAGATGAATCAATGAATCTAGCCCTAAGCACTCCTAATCTAACATTTTAGCACCCTAACCTACACATCTAGAACCTCATTAAGATGACTACTCACTAATCATACTAAACTCTCTTAAACCTTTGCAAGTTGAGAAGATTGGCATGATTAATGATGAGAAATGGAGATGGATAATGATGGATTTGCAGCTTTAAACACAAAGATCTCTCAAACTCTCTTGATTAAACCCTTAAAAATCGATATTTCTCTTCTTAAGAGGAGTCTTTTCACAAAAGAGGCAAGAAACAAAAGGAATAAAGCTTGGTCCTTAGGGTAAAACCCTAAAAAGCTATATATAGGTCTTAAAACAAACCGGGAGCGCCCGGAAAAAACCGGGTCCTGACCCGACTCTGATGGGTAAAATGTCGAGTGTGCGAGTTGGTCAGGTGCTTCCCACGTCGCATGCCTAACTCGCACAGCCATAGAAACAGTCTTGTGAGCCTTAAGTCCTTCAGCCTCAGTCGCATGCCCATCTAGGTGTAAACCACGAGTCTTCATGCGATTTGGTATTTCTTCTCTTCAACTCGCATGACCAAGAGGAAATCGGGGGAGAATATGTGTGTGAGTTGGTCCTCCTTTAGTCCCAAGTCGCATGCCCAACTCGCACACGTCTAGAAAGAAGTTTCAGCGAGATAAAACCATGTAAGCCAGGCCGCATTCCTCTCTCGGTGTAAACCGCGAGTCTTCATGCGGTTCAGTTCCCTATGCTCCCTAGCTCGCACAACCATGTAGCACAGGACTTCAAGTATGTGTGCGAGTTGGTCAACTTCACTCCCAAGTCGCATACCCAACTCGGCGTAAACAGCGAGTATTCCTGCGGTTCAGTTCACTACTCGGCCAACTCGCATGCTCAAGTCGCACATTTGTGGACTTAGCATTTTTTCTGCTCGGGAGCCTTTGACCTCATCCAGGGTTACCTTACCCGCACATCTCCACACGCAGCTCAGTTTCCAGAAATTATCTTTAGGCGCTGCGAGTTATCCAAGTCGCAAAACTTGAGATTCCTCCTCATAAGCCACTTCTCTCAGTTCCAAGAGGGATTCAATGCCCATGTTCCCAAGCAAACTTTTGACATCCTCATAGATGCCAATCTTCTTCAACAATTCTACATCAGGGAATCTCCCTTGCTGGATCCCCATCTGCTGAAACTTGGCCAGATAATCAGGTGTCTCTGGTTCAGTTTTCTTGATCCTCTTTGGTGCCTCTTCAATGGCGCCTTGGGAACCTCCAGCTGAGCTTCTTGAACCACTCTCAGTTTGTTCATCATCAGAGACCACAGCCAGTTGTTTTCCATTCTTCTTGGAACCAAAAGCAACCACCAAAGCTTTCTCCTCATTCCTTGTTCTTTTTGGCTCTTGTTCACTCCTTTGCTTTGTGCTCTTCTTGGTGCCTTGGCCATTTCCTTTTGGCTTTGAAGATCCTGAGACCAGGCTTTTGTCTTTGGATGCAAGACCTTTCTTCATGCGGGCTAGAGCATTGGTTCTCTCAGTCATCTGCCAAAAATTTTCTCAGAAACAAGTTAGCACAAGGTCAAGTTCCACAAAGTTCTCAAAAATTTTGAAAAATTGTTGCAAAAATCAATTTCTAAAGAACATGAACAAGTTTCTCAAGCCAAGCATAAGTCCAATGAATTCATAGCAATGCAAAACAAAAGTGCAAAGCAAAGACTCAGCAAGAAATAAGTTCATCACTTTTTCAAGAAAAACCGATTTTTCCATGAATTATTTTGCAACAATTTTCAAAATTCAAGAACAGTGAATCACCAAGAAAGAGCTCTATTTTCCATGATAAGCCAGCACCCTAGCATTTATAAAAATAATCCCAAGGTCTACAACAACCTATTAAAATCGATTCCACAAAATGAAGCTCAAAATCACCATTTAAGAACATGGAAAAATATGAGTTTTAACAGAGTGAATACCTTGGGATTATGATGCAAATGAGTTCGAAATGCTAACAGGATGAGATTACCAACTCAAAAACGAGCTCAGAGCACTTTGAATAAACGAATTTGGTGAAGTAATGAGAGAGTTATGAAGAAAACAATGGAGAGAAATGGGTTTAGAAGGCAAACTCATGTTTTTGGTGAGGAAGAGAGAGTGTGGGACTAGGAACAGCCTTTGGACTGGTGGTCAATAGATCCACTTTGACCAGTCAAGGCTTGACCTGGCCTTTTTTGTTGACCAGACTCTTTTTCCTTCCTTTTTGCGCCTTGGACCTGGTCTTTCTCATCCCGCATGACTGGCTCGGTGTGTTCCACGAATTTGTGTGCGACTTGGGACCTGGTGTGACCATCTCGCATGCCCAAATCGCACACAAAACTCTTCTGAGAGCTTTGTCCTTTCCCATTGTCCTGTGACCTGGCGTGACCTCCTGATGACCCGCAAGCCCATCTCGATGTAAAGCGCGAGTTCTTGTGCGACTTGGGACCTGGTGTTGACTGCCTCGCATGCCCAGTTCGCACAAAAATCTCTTTTGCATGATCTTGTCCGTTCTATCATGCTGCGACCTGGCTGAACCATCAACAAACCCGCACGTCCAACCCGGTGTATTTAGCGAGCTTTTGTGCTGCCTGGTCTTCTTTGTACCCAACTCACATGACCAGGTCGCACATTCTGAGCCTTAGACAATCTGTCGCTTCTTCTCAGTGTGCGGCCTGGCTCCCTTTTGGACTGTCCCGCACGTCCCAGTCAGTGCAAACCGTGAACGTTTGTGCGGCCTGGGCAGACTCCGAACTATCTCGCACGCCCAGGTCGCACATTTTAAACCTTTGCCGATCTTTTTCTTCTTCTCATCGTGCGATCTGGTCTCCTCTCTGAACCAACACGCATTCCCAGGCTGGTGTAAACAGTGAATGTTTGTGCGGCCTGGGACCTTCCCTGTCTAAATCGCATGCCTGAGTCGCACATTCTGACACTTAAACACCACAGGTTCTTTTCCTGGTGTGCGGCTTAGGCTGCTCTTGGATCATCTCGCATGCCCAGGCGGGTGTAAACGGCGAATATTCGTGCGACCTGGAACCTTCTTAGTCTGACCCACAGGACCAAACCGCACACTTTAAACCTTAGACGACCTGGCACCTTTTCTTAACATGCGACCTGGCTCCCTGTTGGACTGACCCGCAAGCCTGTCTTGGTGTAAACCGCGATCGTTTATGCGGCTTGGCATCTTCCTTGAATTAACTCGCAGGTCTGAGTCGCACACTTTAACACTTGAACACCTCGGCCTCTACCTTTTGTTGTGCGGCTTGAGATCTCCTGTATCAGCTTGCATGACCAACTAGGTGTAAACAGCGAGTGTCCGTGCGTGTTGATTCCTCCTTCATTCAGGCCGTATGCTCATCTTGCACATTCTGATACTTAAACACCTCGGCCTCTTTTCCTGCTGTGCGACCTGGGAGGATATTGAGTCAGACCGCATAACCAACCGGTGTAAACAGCGAGTGTTTCTGCGGCCTGGTCTCTCCTTGGTTCAAGCCGCATTCCCAACTCGCAGACCAGCAGCAGTTAACATTTTTCTTGCTCAAAACTCCTGCTGCTAGGTGAATAACTCGCAGGACCAAGTAGGTGTTAACAGCGAGTTTTTCTGCGAGTTGGTATCTGGCCTGACTGAGCTGCACGCCCAAGTAGCACACAGGCGTCCATCAAGCTTTCATGCCTTAAACTCTTTTCTCAGCCTTCTCACATGCTCTATTCCACTTTGTCCATGAGCCATACACTACAAGAAAAACGAGTATTGATAGCACATTAACATAGCATGATTTCTATAACTGCTATTAAAGAGGATATTTCGGATTTGGATATTCTATTATAGCATTTTAAACACGTTATACCGAAATTTCACTAAGCGGGAACAAAAAATTAACATTTGGAACCTAAATTCTGTGATACGCCAGTACTTAGGCAAAAAGAGAAAAAAATACTAAGTACCCCAACTGTGACTCTTCTTTTTATATTGTTCGGAGAAGAACAAAAACAAGTTCTTTGGAAAAAAAAATTCTCTTTCGAGAATGCCGTCTCCGATTTTCTCCTCCACCGTCTCTGCCGTTATGGCTGAACCATCTCACCACATCCTCCTTCCTCGCCTTCTTCTCAGCCTCCTTCTCCACCTCCCGTTCCCCCCGACCCAGCTAACCTAAACCCTAACTCATCTCCGATTGAACCCACCTCTCTCAATTCGCCGCCGCCGCTTCCACCTCCATCCTCCATAAAGGATATTGAAACAACTCACCCCTTTTTCGCCTCTCCTATTCTCAAGAGCTGATTAGGGTTAACTGTAGATTTTGGGTTAGGGTTCCTGGACGGCGATGACGAGTTTCCTCTCATGAGCTTTCTTCGATCCTGTTCAAGAGGTATGGTTCTAAACACTTTGTGGGCTTTTGACATTGGGATTCGTAAATTATTCAAACCGAACTTATACCGAGGATTTCGAGACAGACCACCCAATATTCAACCTAAGGCAAATTCTTAAAACTTTCATTATGATGGCCAATTGTTGTATTTCTCGCTAATAGCCTAATAATATGCATTATTTTCAGTTTTCTTTGTTGATGTTGAACACAAAGCGTTGGCAGTTGATTCAGGTGCAAGATTTATTCTTAAATGATAGCCTAACAGATCATTTTAGTAGCTTGCAGAGAATAAACTACTCAACATCAACTCCTTCGAAGTCCCTTGCGACAACATTATAGGACGTTTGGGTTTAATTAGGGCAGGATTCATTAGTTAGAAGCTTTTAATCTCTGGATTCAAAGTAGTGATACATAGATTGTTTAAAGTTATTTGATTTCAGTGTATAAGCGAGCAAAAGCTTAGAGATTTAGTGTTTATACACATATATGAGGGTTTGATAGAAAAACTTTTTTGATATTGGTTTGCCTTTGTAGGGACTATTTGAAGATCTCAAAGCTGACAGGACAGAAGACGACCAGGTTAGGCTGTTCCGGCCTGACGAAAACGCTCTTAGTATGCAAACATGTGCTGATAGGCTTTGTATGACACCACCTTCTGTGGAGCAATTCATCGAAGCAGTTAAGCAAACTGTACGTGCCATCAAGAAATGGGTATGGACTATGGACCAATGTGTATCTCTATTCCAATCGATATGATTCTTGATCATAGTTTGCTCTCATCTCTAGAAGCTCCTCACGGGTTTTATGGCTTTTTTTTGGTGTTTTAGGTTCCTCCTCCGGGTAAAGGAGTTTTCTATACAAGGCCTCGGCTAATAGGGAGTGGCGCTATCCTTGGAGCAGCTCCAGCACCTGAGTACACGTTCCTCATCTACGCATCTCCCGTAGGAGATTACCATAAGGCGAGTTAGTGTTCTGCTGTTTTATATACTTGGTGAAATAAACTCTGCCGAAAGACTCTCTAAAGCTGAAATGGTAACGCCGGTGTTTCTTTGTTGTAGGTAAGCACATGCCTGAACCTTAAAGTTGATCATAAGTATCGCCGAGCCAATTCACTTGTTTTCAGAAGCGTGGATGCTTATTACTTTTGTTTCCATGAGATGCAGGTCACTTTAACACTTTTGTTGGAGATCGGTCTGCTTATGTGTTCAGTTAGATTCTGATTTTGCTTGTGTATTGGATTAGGTGATCTGGTGAAGATGCTTTTGAGACTGCAAAGAGTTGACGTTTCTTCTTCTCCTTAATCTCATTAGCTTTTGGTTTTAGTTCTTATTCCTTCTCTCTGTTCTTGAGAGTTTATTAATTTTTTGAATTTTTTTTTTTGCAGAAAAGAAGAATGGTCGCAATATTTTGACCACGTTTAAGCAAAACGAGAGACTTGAATCAGTTTCAGTTACATCTCATCATTACAGGTTTGATTTCTTGGTCCTTTACATGAATAATACTTTGTTTAACACTCTTAGGACGATTATTATTTGCACAGTTCATCAAAAGCAGGTTTTGGTTACAATAAACTTTTCTCTAGAACAATTGAAACGTGTTTTGGATACAAGATCAAATCTGGTGGAGTTTTATATTGGACAAAAACAGAAGAGGGCAACAACTGCTGCAAAAACCGGTTGCAAGATGATCAAATCTTTTTGAGGTAATTTGTTCATTTGGATTTTGGTGCAATTCTGAAATTATACCTTTCCTTGATGACTTTGGAGAATTACGTAAGCACAGATTCCCAGTACATCAATATATGGTTTTGGTTTGTTGCAGTTACTGTGTGCGTTTGTTGCTTGAAACTGCAACTTATGGCATTGATTCTCTCCCAGGCTAAGCTCTTCTCACTCAAAGAATTGCTTCAGCACTTCAAGCAGCCATGATGTTAAGACCACGTTTGGTAAGACATTTGGTATGATGTTTAAGACTTGATGTTTTGTAAGACTTGTTTTAAATACGATATTTGTCCTTCTGATGTTTTGTGTAAGACATGTTTGGATGTTTAATAAAAATAAGAGTGTTTTAAATGCAATCGCTGGTTTCTTTATAGTTTTGGAAAACAGGTTTCTTTCGGTTTGAAAATAATTTTGCAAAACTACAGGTCGTAATAAAATAAAAAAATACTAGAACACGTTATACAATAGCCCGGGAAAAGTATTGTAAAACAATATACTATAGCCTAGAAAAAGAGCTACAACACGTTATACCGTAGCAAAAAAAAACGAGCTACAAGAGATTGGTCTATAGCAACAAAACCGAGCTACAAAAGTCCATATTATAAGCATGCAAATAGTGCTACTAGACGACATAGAACAGCGTCTAAAATGAGCTACTATATCGTCAATAACAACACAATTTCAACGCTATAATAAAAGTACATATTATAGCACAATCCCAAAACGCTATTGTATAGGGGTCACCCTATTATAGCTCCGGAGATCACAGCGTTCATCGAAACGCTATTAAATCGATATGATAGCGCTAATCGTGAGCTAACAATGTACATCTTTCTTGTAGTGATAGCCTCCAAAAGTCACCTGAAACCTGAGAACAACTCACAAAACCCATCAAAATATCCTAAAACATAAAAAGAAAGAAAAGAAAAGATCAAAAGAGCTATGTACAAGGATAAGCTTGGAGTGTCTCCCAAAAGCACTTTATTTAAAGTCTCTAAGTTTGACTTTGATACCAAGTTTATGCTGATGGTAGATCAGAAAGGGGAACTGATGTAGCATCCTCCTTCCTTTGTGAGACTAGGTAGTGCTTGATCCTTTGGCCATTGACCACAAACTCTTTACCATCTTTACCTTCTAACACAACACCTCCATATGGCCTAACTTCAAGAATCTTAAAGGGACCAGACCATCTAGACTTAAGTTTTCCAGGAAATAACTTAAGCCTAGAGTTGAACAGCAACACCAAATCACCTTCCTTGAACTCCCTTTTCAAAATCCTTTGATCATGTAGAGCTTTGGTCTTTTCTTTATAGATCTTGGAGCTCTCAAAAGCCTCCAACCTGATCTCTTCAAGTTCATGGAGTTGAATTATTCTTTTCTCTTGAGCTGTTTTGATATCAAATTTCAGCAACTTCACAGCCCATAATGCCTTGTACTCCAGCTCAACAGGAAGGTGGCAGCTCTTCTCATATAGCAGATTGAAAGGAGATGTCCCAATTGGAGTGTTAAAGGTTGTTCTATAAGCCCACAATGCATCATCCAGCCTTTTGCTTCAATCTTTTCTGCTTGATTTAACAGTCCTCTCAAGAATGGCCTTAATTTGTCTATTAGACACTTCAACCTGGCCACTAGTTTGAGGATGATAAGGAGTAGCTACCTTATGTTTCACTCCATGCTTCCTCAGCAATCCCTCCAAGGTTTTGTTCACAAAATGAGAACCTCCATCAGAAATAACAATCATGGGTACTCCAAATCTTGGGAAGATTATGTTCTTGAACAACCTGACCACCACCTTGGAATCATTGGTAGGGGAAGCAACAGCCTCAACCCATTTGGACACATAATCCACAGCCACCAATATGTACTGATTCCCATAAGATGAGATGAATGGCCCCATGAAGTCCACTCCCCAACAATCAAAAACTTCAACCTCAAATATTGGATTTTGAGGCATTTGACTCCTCTTTGAAATGTTCCCATGCCTCTGACAGGCATCACATGCTGAAACAACCCTTTGAGCGTCCTTGAACATAGTAGGCCACCAAAACCCACTCTGAAAAACCTTGGCCACCGTCTTGAATGCTCCCATGTGACCCCCAAAAGCTGATCCATGGCACTATTGCAACACAGGTTGCATCTCCTCTTCAGCAAGACACCTTCTATACAGGTGATCTTTTTTCAGGACATACAGGTAAGGTTCATCCCAATGGTATCTTTGGACATCTTTGAAGAACTTCTTTCTGCGGTAAGCATCAAGTTCTGGTGGTTCCACTCCGCAAGCAAGAAAGTTCACAATGTCAGCAAACCAAGGCGTTCTCCTCTCTTGGATGCTATCCATTTCCTCAAACTTCAAGTAAGAGTTGAGCACCATCAATGATTCCTCAGGGAGAGAGTCATTAAGAGGGACTTCAGAGTCCACTCTTAACCTAGATAGATAGTCTGCAGCTCCATTCTCTATGCCTTTCTTGTCTTGTACTTCCATATCAAACTCTTGAAGTAAGAGGACCCATCTCAGGAGTCTAGGCTTGGCGTCCTTCTTAGTCATGAGATATCTGAGGGCTGCTTGATCGGTGTACACAATGACTTTTGATCCCAACAGGTAGCCTTTATATTTATCAAATGCAAAAACTATTGCCAGCATTTCCTTTTCTGTGGTTGCATACTTTTCATGAGCAGAATCAAGGGTCCCACTGGCATAGTAGATCACATGAAGTTTTCTGTCCTTCCTCTGGCCAAGCACAGCTCCAACTGCATAGTCTAAAGCATCTGTCATCACTTCAAAGGGCAATGACCAATCAGGGCCCTGGACAATTGGTGCACTGAGCAATGCCTCCTTGATCTTCTTGAAAGCTTCCTCACACTCAGCATCAAAGACAAATTCAACCTCTTTGCACAACAGCCTAGTCAGAGGCCTAGCTATTCTTGAGAAGTCTTTGATGAACCTCCTAAAGAACAATGTATGCCCAAGGAAGCTTCTTATCCCCTTGACTGAATTAGGAGCTTGAAGATTCACCATCACTTCCACCTTTGCTATATTCACTTCTATTCCAGCTTCTGAGACCTTGTGCCCCAACACTATTCCCTCTTGAACCATGAAGTTACATTTTTCCCAATTCAACACCAAGCTGTGCTCCTCACATCTATCCAGGACCTGAGAAAGATTAGACAAACAAGAGGAGAAAGAGTGTCCATAGACTGAGAAGTCATCCATGAAGACTTCTACTCTCTCCTCAATCAGATCCGAAAAATAGACATCATGCAACGCTGGAAAGTAGTAGGAGCATTGCACAGCCCAAATGGCATGCGCCTATAAGCAAATGTCCTATAGGGACAGGTGAATGTGGTCTTCTCTTGGTCTCTTGGATCTATGGGGATTTGAAAGAATCCAAAATAACCATCTAGAAAACAAAAGAAGGGATGGTTTGCAAGCCTCTCTAGCATTTGGTCAATAAAAGGCAAAGGAAAATGGTCTTTCCTAGAGGCTGCATTGAGCTTTCTATAATCTATACACATCCTGTGTCCAGTTATAGTCCTAGTAGCAATCAGCTCATCCTTCTCATTCTTTATCACTATCATTCCCCCCTTTTTGGGCACCACATGAAATGGTGAAACCCATCTAGAGTCTGAGATTGGATAAATTATCCCAGCCTCTAGGAGTTTGAGAATCTCTTTCTTCACTACCTCTTTTAAGTTGGGATTGAGACGCCTTTGGTGCTCTATGGATGACATAGACTCCTCTTCTAAGTGAATCCTATGAGTGCATAGGGAGGGTGAGATACCCTTTATGTCATCCAGAGAGTAGCCAATGGCTCTCCTATGTTTCCTCAACTCTTCTATTGGTCCTCTAACAGCATATCATTGATAATGACAGGATAAGACTCATTGAGACCTAAGAAAGCATACCTGAGCCCCTTGGGAAGAGGTTTGAGTTCCAACTGAGGTGCCTTTGACTTATCCCAATCAGCACTGAAGCTGTCTTGCAAGGTTTCAGCACCTTGTTGCCAATCTGCTCACACAGCCCAGCCTGCTCCTCCACTTTAGAACCCACGGCCATGACTCTCTGAACTGCTCCTTGGCTTGTGTTTGAGCCGCTGATATCCAAGACCTCAGGGCCACTTTGTTCCAATTCCAAAAACCTTGCCTCAGGACCAAGTTCTCTTGCATTGTCTAAAAACAGCTTGTACCCTTCACTCTCCTCTGCCAAGAACCCATGGTCTCCTTGTTCTTTGGTTAAAGCAACTTAAAGAGGGTCATCAGTATTCAGTTCCTCAAGCAACTCATCAGCTAGTTGATCTATGGTCTCTACATAGAAGCATTGTCCTTCTATGGTGGGCTTCTTCATCATGTCTTTGATATCAAACTTCAGCTTTTCTTTACCAAGTTGTAGCTCAATGATGCCACCTCTCACATCAATAATTGCTCCTGCTGTGGCCAAGAATGGCCTGCCCAAAATCAGTGGATCAACAGGTTTTTCATCCATCTCTAGATGTAATGGCTTTGTTGTGCTCTATACCTGGTAGCTCTTTGCCACTTCTCAATGTAATGGCTTTAGCATACTCCATTGGATTTGGTTCAGTCTTACCAGGTAAGCCACCTTGGCTTCTTGAAGTGGATGCCTGATTCTTTTTCAGCTCCTTGATGTCCTGCTGCATAGATGCATACTGACTTGCA